GCTTCCTCAGCGGCTCCCCAGGGCTGTCGGGGCCCAGTCATGGCACACTGGAGTTTGACATTTGGAAAATAACTTCTTCCTGTACAATTAAGGCATCGACACAATCTATGCAACATTTGTTACTTTTCAAGGACACTGTTTGTTAAACTTGCTTTGTTCTTTGACCCTGCCATAACAGGAACTGGTTAGCCATGTTATCTATAAGAGTCAGGAAATCCGGTCTTTACATAAAGATAAAAACAATTGCTTGGTGTTTTCTCTTGTTGTGTGCCCTTAAAAGCTTCCTGTTGATGTGAACCTATAAAAGGAGCTGTTTCTGTGAAATAAATCAGACTTCTCTTCGTCTCCGCTCAGGTTTGAGTGCTCTTTCCTTTCTCAATCCTCACTCCCAGACTCAGGCATGTTCGTGTTGTGAAAGCTGGACCGCCACACAGGGCCCTGGCTGAGGTTGCCCGGCCAGCGAGCCGGGAGCACTTTCCTCTGGGTGTGGCAGGGAGCAGACCGATGGGCAGAAGTGACTGGGGCACAGGAGGACAGAGTCAGGAGCTCCAAGCGCACGTTCAGGAGAGGCGTCGGCACCGACGTGCACAGGAGGATCACCCTGACCGAATGACCGAATCTGGCTAAGGGTCGGTGTCTCCCTACTAATCCATACCCCGAGGAAAGCCACCAGCGCCGCAATGCTCTCTCTTGTTCCATCCCGGGAGAGTGACAAGCTCTGCCTCTGGATCTGTGTATCTTGATCGAACTAAGAACAATTCTGGAAAAAAGCCTTACAATGAGCATCCGGAATCAAGGATCACCATGAAAATTAGAGCTGGGTCTATCCAATCTCCATAATACACCCCAGGACTCCAGCCAAAGCACCACACCCGAAAACCTGAAGGTCCCTTTTGTCTAATGACCCAGATGCCTTTCTATCTGGACCTCAGTAGATGCTAAGAAGTCTCAAATAGTTAATGTGCAGGCAGTTTTCTTCTTTCCTTCCAGAAGGATGAAAACAGAAAATAGCAGCTGCCCAAAAAGATGATTTTAAAAATCAGGCTCATTTTCCCATTCCTTCCCCATTTGGGGAAAAGCCATCCGATAAGAAGGGGCGGCCTGACTGCAGGTTTCCAACTGAATGGGCAGCTCAGGAACTTTGCTTAAGAGCAAGTCTTGGTCACAATCTCAAAACTGCAAAGTGTCTGAAGTAGAAAACAGGTGGACAGTGTACATTCTGGCTACCAAAGCTGACAAGGAGACCAGCTAGTCACTGTTTCCACATTTTACTTCTACCACATGAGGTGGGGATTAAAAACAAAAGAGCCAGGCATGGTGGGTGGATGACCCAAAAGCATTACAAGTCCAAGCCCAGCCTGGGCAATTCAGACACAACCAGCCTTTTTTTTTTGTACTGGGATGGAACTTGGGTCCTTGCACTGGCAAGGCAGGTGGTGGAACCACTGAGCCAAATCCCTGGCCCCGACACATCCAATCTTAAAGAAAAATAAACAAAAAAGAGGCAGGGGATGTAGCTCAGTGTGAAAGCCCTGGTTCCAGGCTCAGTACTGGAAAAAAAAAGGAAGCACTTTCACTTTTTAATATTTGTGTATTTCTTGTTGCTTTTTATTCCACCAAGCACTTGCTACATTTGCAATTTAAAAACAAAATGAAACATTCTGCTTCTGTCTGGGAATGTGGTTAAACAATTTAACAGGGCCAATTCTTCTGGTAGCTTGGATATTTAAAATTCTTATTCAGATTTATCATAGTCCATGTCAAGGTAAAAGTTGATTTTAGAATTTTGTTGTCATAATTCATACTTGTTTGAACCCTTCTCTTCAATCACACACTGGGATACAGATTTCATGTAAGATTAGAGAAAGCACTGGGCCAAATCTTCTGTTACTACACTTTGTAATTTTCCCTTTTCCAAACACAGGTTCCCATGCTTTTGAACAAGTCCTTTGGTGGGGATATAAACCAGCACTGTAGGACTAAGTACATTCTTTTTGTTTTTTGAAACAGGGTCTCACTATGTAATTGAGACTGACCTGGATCTCACTAGAGTGTCAGGATTACAGATGTGCACCACCACTCCTGGCTAAGTACACTCTTTAACAAAGCTTGTGTTTCTGTGCTTTTGTTTTAAAATCTGGATTTCAGACTTTTGGAGGGAATTTTTCCAGACCAAAGGTACACCGTCCTAGCAGTAAAGGCATACAGTTCCTATTTAACTTTATCTAATGCATCAGAAGAAAAGTTAATAGACAAATATAAATAAAGGCACTGTATCCCATTTTTAAAAATCCTGACTTTTCCACAGTCCCCTTAGAAAGACTTTTTTTTGGTACTTGGGGATCAAACTGAGCACCTTGCACTTGTGAGGCTAGTGCAGCGCCACTGAGATAACTTCCCAGCCCAGAAAAACTTATTTATGTCTTTTGCATTTACACATCTTTTTTCTCTAGTCATAAGACCTTCTCATTAATTTTTACAGCAACTTCTTTAGAAGATGTCCCATAACATGATCGGTATTGGGCTTGTGAAAGATGACAATGACCTTCTGAGGCTCTGTCCCGAAGCTGCTCGCCCTGTCATAAAAGCGACAGGGCCTTCTCGCCCTCGGGCACCCCCATCTGAAGACCAACCAGGTCACCCCGAGATCCTCTCTACCCCAGGCATTCTCACATTCTACTATTTGACCTCCATCTCTACAGGCATTTGAGGGACGGGAGTAAAAAGTCGTGAATTGGTGCCTTTTCAAAGAGGGGGAAAGGCTAACAGATTTATTTTCTGCGGTTCCTACGCCTGTGCTTCAGCCAGGCCCAGGGTTTCGGCTTCCGTGTTGCGACACGCACGGGTGAATGCACCCGCGTGGCACGGCTGGGTAAGTGGAGGAAGGGCCCTGGGGCCGGCAGGGAGGCCCCCGGGAGGTTTCAGGGTGGTCTCTGGGGTCACACGGAGCTCATTCTTGCACACCGGCTCAGAAACCCCGTCTAACCATTAACATTCATGCGTCAGGTCCATGAAGCCAAAGGTAGCCGACCCCGGATGTAACCAAACAGCCAGTCACTAGCTACAATCATCAAACTCCTAGACTAAGGCGTGAGTATATGGTGGGAGGAGGGTTCTGGGTGAATTCTACCCTCTTTTCCAGCTCCTATAACCATTCAGTGAGAACTTTATTATTATTATTTTAGAATCAAAGGAAAGTGCTATGAAGCAAAATGGATGTAACAGTTAAAGATTCTGCCCTTAAGGCTCCATTCTTGAATACAAAGGAGAAAGAAAACATTTTTTATTTTTTAAAGACAGGGTCTCAAGGAAAAACTAGAAACAAAGTCTTTGTAAATAGGGGAGGGTGGAGGGGGTGAAGGAAGGGCAGGGGTAAGGGGAAAAATGAGAACCAAGACCTGTCATGTAAAGGTACAAGATCCCAATGATGAATGTAACTGTACTGTCTACTTAAAAAGTACCAATAAACTCAATAATGACAAAAACAAAAAACAAAAACCAGGGTCTCACTATGCAGTTCAGGCTGGTCTTGAACTCATGTGCAGCCCAGGCTGGCCTCAATTTATCAGTGCTCCTCCTGCCTCAGCCTTCAGAGTGCTAGGATCACAGGCATCCACCGCCACACCCAGCTTGAAATGAGACACTTTTATGTAAATATATACTGTTCAAGGAATATTGTAGTATGAGTAGGAAGCAACACTTCCAGAAAGAAAAAGCCATAAATAAACTGCCATTGCAATGGAGCAGCTAGAGTCGCCCTCTGGACCATGAAAGGGCTCCTGAGACAAAGTAGTGATGTGAACACCCTGAGAGAGACCCAGAACAGGCAGCCAGCAGGCACCCACAGTACTTCTGGGTCACAGTCCAGGCCCCGTGATCACCTTGCAGCTGTCAGCTCAGCTGCTGCCTTTCCCAGCAGTCCTCGGTTTGGGGAGGTCTGGCGAGGTGCCAGTGTAGGGGTGTAGTGAGTAGTGCTGTCTCCCAGACTCCTTACCCCGCGGCCACTATGTCCCTTTCTGTATTTCCCAGCCTGTGGGTCTGCAGATAGTTGACTGTGTCCTGGCTTCAGATTCCTCAAAAAAGGACGAAAGCAACAGTATTTTACCCAGGAGCTGGGCATGGTGGTGCATGCCTGTAATCCCAAAGCGTGGGAGGCTGAGGCAGGAGGGTTGCAAATTCAAGTTCGGCCTGGGCAATTTAGTAACTTTTGAAGGAGGCCCTGTCTCAAAATAAAAAACACAAAGAGGCTAGGGATGTAGCTCAACACATAGGCCCTAGGTTTAATCCATAGTAATATAAAGAAAAAAATTTTTAACTAGAGGAGAACTATGGGGAGCACTAGTCCTGATGTCAGAGAGAAGGTGTCCCATAAAAAGACCATTTGTCCCAAAGACTGAGTCAGGAGCTCAGCCTCCCACATGTACCCGCCTTCATCAGACTGCTCAGCCTGCAAGGATGTGTACTTTCTTCAGCAGTGCTGGGGGAGGGGGCAAGGAACAGGGTGAGGCATGGAGAAAGCTGAACAAGCAACGTGGTGGCCCCATCTTTCTTGAGGATACAGAAAAATCACAGCTGGGAGAGTGGGCTGAACTCAGCAAAGTAAACCTTACACTTGGAAGAGTGTGAACCGGCCACTCGCTGTTTGCACTGAACAAACTGGTCACCAACAAAAGTGAATCCTCGGTGTGACTTCATTACAGGCACTACAGTCCTGGAACGATCAGACGGGCTCCGTCAAGGATCGGGTGACCAGGGGGTGTATCTGTGCGAACCCCGCCACCACCCAGTCAGTCCTGGCAGAGCATCACCTGGACAGGCATGCCCTGGTGCAGCACACTAGGGCTGGCTTCGTGGAGCCACTGGGGTCACCAAAGCAGTGTGTGCTGCAGGCACAAAAACTGTCACTCAACTCCCTTGATTTGTAGCAGTTCCTTCATATGAACTAGTGCGCCCCTCCCCGCAACACGCAAAACAGAACAGAGCACAGCAACGTGTACTACCTGCCGTCGAAGAAGAAGAACTTCCCGCGTCCGTTCTTTTCTCCGTGAATGAAGCTCCCCTCGAATCTGTCTGTGGACGAGTAGGTGACCGTGCAGAACCCGTGCGGTAATCCATCATCGTCCAGATGCCCTAAGGACGAACCACAGTGAGCCTTAACACGGTCCAGCTCCCGAGCTGGCCACCAGAGGGCCCCTTTACTGGCACAAGGCCACAGAGCTGTGAAGATTTTTCTCCCCGCCTCTCCCGGGGACGACATCCATTGGATGGATGGTTACACAGATTGCTGCACTAGTGGAACTGCACAGAGGGGCACAGGTACGTCTCGGAATATGAGCCAGAAACAGGCTTCCCTGGGGGTGAGGATTATTGTGAGTTAGATCGTCTCGTGTGCTGGTTACAATGTACCAAGTACTTCCTCAGGTAACTTCTCATACCTGGAGCTAAGGTCCTCCATCTCCCGCCTGCTACTCTGTTTGGGATACATTATCTAACTGTTGCATTTTGCAAGTATGCAATATGATTTTATGTATCATCTAAGGGAGGACAGTAGCCAGCCTAAAAACCCAAGTCACATGTCATACTGAGACTTACCGAAGGACAGAGCCACATCTCCGACACTAGACACCACCACAGTGTTTATACACTTCACTGACTGACAGTCCTTCTGAGCTCAAACTTAAGCTTACCTTTATTGTTTTACTTTATAAAATTGCTCAGCTGTGAATGTCTAGCAATGATCTTACCATATACCCTGTACCACTGTGTCCGAGGCTGCATTTTAAATGGAGCCAGAAGTGTCCCCATAGCCACTTAAGTAGCAATCCTGAACTTTGGCCACAGTCATAACCCTGATCTTCCAGTTGTGGGTCCCTCCCGGCTCACAGACTACACTGGAATATATGTATTTCCATCACTGTTTCGATTCCCTATTATTCTCCACATATTTCACAAGCCCCGGGCATCATCCCAATGGTGCCAGCCCAGTCATTCCGGTGGACTGATTTTGCTGATGGATGAAGAGAAGAGCAGCCATTGCTTTCCTGGCTTTTTCCTGGGTTAACCACCCAGGTTAAGGAATGAAAACATTAACCACTGTGCAATGCAGGCACATTAAACACTAAAATGTGGCTTCCAGATGGCTCACAGGCATAAAAGAAAACACAAATCATATCACCACGATGAATGCTTTTGTCTCCTAAAATGATTTCTTCTAATATAATAAAAGCGCAAAGCCCTGGGTTCTAACCCTAGCACCTCAAAAAAAAAAAAATTCCGGGCCAGGGATTTAAATCGGTGGCTCCGCTGCCTGCTTCACAAGTGCAAGGACCAAGTTTGAGCCCTGCTTCCAAAGAAAAAGAAAAAAGAAAAAAAATTCCAAGAATACCATCCCTTGAGACAGTGAATACTCTTACCAAGGATTAATACTCTATTTGTACTATTGATTACAGAAATAATATAACAGCAGAAAAATACAATATTCTATTGCTGCATTCCCCAAAGAATGAGTTACCTTGAACATACTGCCAGAAAACGTGGCTACTTAGCTGGGGATTTAGCTCAGTGGTTCTGCTGCCTGCCTCGCAAATTCAAGGACCAGAGTTCAATCCCTGGTACCAAAAAAAAAAAAAAAAAAAAAAGGCTAAATACTTCACCATCTGGATAGTTCTCCCCTTAATGCAAACGTGTTCTACAAGGGCCAGGAAATTAATAGTCAGAAAGAAACTAGGCCATAATTGCTTCCTTTTCATTCAAAAAGCAATGGTACCTGGGACAGGGATTTAGTTCAGTGGTTCGGCCACCTGCCTCACAAGTCCAAGGATCCAAGTTTGCTTCCCGGTACCCCCCCAAAAAAACCCCCAAAGGTACCAGACATAGTTGAGTGACTTAAAATTTTATGAAATAATTTGAATCATCTTTTCTAAATATCCACTGGTGACATTTTCACCATGACAGATGAAACTTAGTTTTTTCCTTTTCACCAAAAGCCAGTGTATAGCTAAAAGCTTGCCTTTATGAAATGTTATTGAGATCAAATTAAATTTAGTCATTAACATTCCTGTAGATTTGGTATCCTACTTTTAAGTACAAATATCAGAATAATCAGGTTAGCCTAATAGGAGAGTATTCATTAACTTGTTGAAAATGCTTTCCTCATAGAAAACAGTTCACAAATTTCACACTTTAAAAAGTTAATGTTGATAGATTTTATTTCATTTTAGATCAAGAGAAATGTTATGGTAACCATGTGTACAAAAGGAAAAAAAACTACAATGTAAACTCATCCCCCCTTTCCTCTACCCTTGTCTTGTTTCTGAATAAATCAGTGAAGGGGCTGCGGAACTAAGATATTAGAGAAAGTGGGAGGTGTCAAATAACACACTAAAAGCCCTGTACTGATCCCAACTGAGAGCACAACAAATCTCAACCCAGCTCCATGAGGATACCTGTTTCAATGCCTTTTTCCTTAATTTTTCTTTCTTCTTTCTTTCAGGGGCACTGGGGTGTAAAGAGCTTGCCTAGTATGCAGATAGGAAAAGGTACTTGTGCACATGACCCTTTCCAGATATTTAAGTTTTTTGAAGTTTTCTTACTACATTTTTGCAGTACATAATGGTAACGCTCATCATGGAAAAACTTTTTTTTTTTTTTTGGTCCTAGGGTTGGAACTCATGGCCTTCTGCGTGCTAGGCAAGTGCTCTCTACCAGACCCATATCCCCAGTCCCTTCCCTGCCATTCTTAAGGTTTTTAAGTTGCTTGTGTAACGGTTCTAAAATATGTTAGAGCACAGACTTGTTTTATTGTCTTTGCATCCTTAGGATGTGATCATTTAAACAAAGCAGAGGTTGTGATCATTCATGATTTCCACCCTGCATATTTAATAGTCCGTAGTAGTTTTCCAAACAGAAGTTTAGATCTTACAAAAGCAGAAACAAAACACAGCCACAGCCAAACCAGTCACCACAAAGAAATGGAGGATGGGAAGAGATGGAATCACCCACATCTCCTTTCAACATGATGCTTGTTCAAACACCATTTGGACAATCATGTCACGTGATGTCATGTCACATGAGTAGTAGTCAGTTTAATGGAGAGGGTTACTGATACACAGGGAAGAGAAAGAACTTCCCAGCCCTCGGCTGAATGTTTTCCTGTTATCAAATTTAAATCTCACAGTATCCTCCCAAATTTCCACTTTACAGATGAAGTCACCAGTGCCGTCTGACTTGCCCTAGGAACACGACTACTGTATGTGCTGATGACTGCTGAAAGCCCCTTCCCCAAAGCTGTCACCTTTCTCTTCAAAGGAGGGCAAACAAGTTGAGCACCCTTTCTCTTTTGCTGAGAGTAGAACGAGGAATCTCTAAAGGACAGAACTGCACAAGGCCCTAGCAGAGACGTGGGAGGCCACTGTGTGGCCAAGATAATCCTCCCAGAACTGCCAAGATTTTCTGCAGCATATCCGGATTGCAAATTCCTGTCCCTTGCCCGTGTTACCTAACTCAAACAGAAACAGAGGTCCTCCTAGCTCCGATTGAGGTCAGTTTGCAGAGTGCGCCAAGTCAGGCGACAGCCTTGCTGGCCAGTTCCCTGGCAGGGCGAACACCAGCCCACACACAGGGAAGACTGATTTCAGTGGTGGCTCTTGTGTTTGTAACACCATGTCTGCATTTTTTCAGGCCACAATATTTATTGGATGTAGAGAAAGGAAAAGAAAAAGTAACAATTTCACAAGTGTTCTTCACTTTGTCATAGAGATCACTATCTACTAGTGGATGGAAAGTTAAATCTTTCCCTTGAGTTACATCTGGGCGAGGGTTTTCCTACATTTTGCGTGCACAGGAAATTCCCTCCGGATCAGGCACCTAGTGCTGGCCGCCTTGGGCTTACTCACCAGCGACCCGAGAGAGCCCGTGTGCGTGCCTCGCTTAGAACCAGGGTCCCTCACACGTGTTGTTAAAATATCATTTGAATTTTGAGGCTGATTCTTTGCAAGAACTCAACTCTTGGTAGTGAGGGCGATGGATTTAATACCTGGTGCAGGAGGAGCGGGTGCTACCACCAGTGCACTTAAGTCTGTGCACGTCCTCTTACAGACCCACAGGCCTGGACATGAGCGGGGCTGTTAGTAAAAATGTTCTTACTATTTGGAAGGGATTGGGTAAAGGTACACTGCACTGCTTGTTTTCATCCTGGGCCCTTGTTCTGAGGACTCTGATTACTTACTTCCCTCTTTGGAGTATTTTTCCTCAGCGTCTCCTAGGTCTTTCTGGAATTTCCACTTCCGGCCCATCCTCGGCACCGCTCTCCCTGCCTATCCACCGCTTCTGCCCTCCTCTTCCACTTCCGGTCTGCCCGATCACTACACTTGGCCGCACCACGCATGCGCAGCATATTCTTCTTCCAGGGCATGGGGGCCAGACAAGGGGCCCCCTCACGTCTCCCTCTGGAAGCCCCGTGTTCCCGCAGAAATGAAGGGTTATCTATCCTCTGCATAAGTTCCCCTCTCAACTCTACTCTGCCATCTCTTCTGGGAAATCTTCTGAAAGCTGCAAGGAAATGTGATTTTTTTTCTCAACCACTGCAACTCATCTATGTAGACAGACACGAGATATTTATTTGAGCTGATATTTGGCACCTCTTTGTATTCAAGTTTGTATCAGTGAAGAGACAAAGAAATAGATACAACAGTAAATATTTGTTTCCAAAGATCCTGAAGGATAACACTGGAAACTAAACATTCCTTTTTTACAGATCCATAAGCCTCAGGCTGGTTTTTGTTGTTGCTGTTGTTTTGAAACAGGGCCTCCCTATGGTCCAGAATTCACTATGTAGCCCAGGCTGGCCTCGAACCCACAGCGATCCTCCTGCCCGCCCCAGCCTCTAAATTCTGGAATTACAGGTGTCAGCCTCTAAATTCTGGGATTACAGGTGTGCGCTACCCCTCTTGGCCCCTCAGACTGTTTTTAAAAAGCCACAGCAAGAGCTGGAGTGGGGCATACACCTGAAGTCCAGCTATTCAGGAGGCTGAGGCAGGAGAACTGCTTGAGTCCAGAAGTTCCAAGCCATCATGGACAACATGGTGAAACTATCTCAGAGAGTGAGAGAGAGGGAGTATTAATATGAATATGAATGGTGGAGTTCTCAGGCTCTCTGAGGCCCAGGGTCTGCTGCCTCCTGCAAGGAGTAGGAACAAGGCAGACACAGGTACACAGAACACCCCCTCCTGACACATCCTCTCCTGTCTCCGTTTCCCCTCAGGATTCAGTCATCCTGAGTTTACAATTCTACTGAGAGAGATCCAACACAGACAATATATAGAGTCCTGAAAAGGCCAACCTCTTCCCCAGTGTAAATTTCCAATAAGGAAAAGAAGAAAAAACCATGTCTGTTGTAGAGGCTGAATGTTAAAGCCTCTTTCCCCAAATGCCCTTTTGTGGAAGACATGGAACTCCATCAGAAACAACCTCTGGAGAGTTACACTGATAAAGAAAGATGCCAGTGTAATTCTTCTCAACTCGGTTACCAAGTATGTCGTGTACTTGTCTGATTCATCACAGATTCCTGTCTCGCCTTCTCACTAACAGTTTTTGGATTAGTTCTGAACTCCTCTGTCTCATTTCTGCAAAATCAGGACATTAGTAGCCATCTCATAAGACTGAATGGTAATGTCTCTGAAGCCCATATGTAGCACAGAACCTGAACATAATAGGAACTAAACAATTATGGCGACGATAGTAACAGCTGTGACAATGAAACCACTGAGAAGACAGGCTGTGTCTATGGAGAGAGGAAGGTTAATACCAAATATACAGGCTTGTTTCTCTTTGGGAAAAGATCGTAAGCGGTTTGTACCACTTCCCCGTGTGTGTTAGGTATTAAACAAAGACCACTGCACAAGCAGTGAAAAGGCTGAGAAGCACTGGAGAAAAGCCTACGGGTGCAATTTACTGCCTGCACACACATGTGCCCTGGGCGCTGTGCATGTCTGAGCCGGAGGTATCTCTAAGGGTTTTTCTTTTTTGAGACAAGGTCTCTTGTTATGTCGCCCAGGCTAGTCTGAAACTCTGGGGTTCAATGATCCTCCTGCCCAGCCTCTCAAGTGGATGGAACTACAGGCCTACACCACCATGCGTGGCCGTTTTAAAGACCTTTAAAGATGAAAAGTTACTCTGGGGCTGAAGGTGTAGCTCAGGGTAGAGCTCTTGCCCAGGGCACCATTTAATACATAAAAGCTGAAATTTACTCTAATTGTTTACTGTTAGGTACAACTGAATGTGTGTCCCAGACTGCCCAAGACATTCCAGGCTGAAGCCAGTTGTCCTAGCATAATTATTAACAGTGCCTCTCTGTGCCCACTAGAGTGTTCTCATTTAGGACAATATATATGCTCATCCTATATAACTATATAAAGAAATGTCCCTGTTTCTAATCTAATCTCAAAAACAACATGGAGAGATTTTTAAAGCTCTTGTCCACTTTCTGCAAAAGAACCAGAAGATTACGGAAAAAGGGACCTTATGTTTCTAAACAGCTTCACAAAGGAAGGTGGTTTAAATCTCAGAAGCATTACCTGCAATTATATTACATGTAACCCAGAGCCTGCATGACATTTTTACGGTATTAGCTTTTTGAAAGTAAAAGCAAACTTTGAGGAATGGGAGCAAACCCTCACAATTTCAGAAGGGCATTTTTTTTTCTTTCATAATACGAAGCCAGGAGAAATCAGTAATTTTTAAATTTAAATGCTCCCTGTGGATCAACTCGATTAATGCCTTTGGGGCCTTCTAAATCTAACACGGAATTTACTTGTTACAGATGCCAGCTCAGTGAGCTCAGGGCACAGTGAAAATGTTCTCAAGTTAAAGTACACACTTAAATTGTCCTTGGAACAAGATGAAGAAATGCGTTTTTATATTTACGTTAAGATTGGATCCCTTTTAGAGAATGCCAGAAATATGATTCCGCATCTTCTCGCCCTATCCCTTCAGGAACAACGCAAAAGGAGTTACGTATGAAAACATAATACTTGATTCCTCCCAGTGTAGCACTAACGGTGCATTCTTAGGCATTTGTAAACCACTGCCACGTTATTTTCCATCTTCGTTAGTGAGAACTTGTTTATTTAACTTAGTTAGAAACCAAGTTCAACCGACAGCTAAAAATTATTTACTGAGGTGCTCGGTTGAAAATATTCTGGAATAATAACCACACACCACTGCAAAATATCACGACACACTGCCTGGAGAAGAATCAAATAAATAATTACGCTAAAGAGTACTTGCCAGTATTCGCTGGTACAAAATCATAACATCTCCGGGTACAAACAACAAGATTGTATAACGTCTCTACGGCATGTTTCAGAAACAACAACAACAAAAAAGGAAAGCGGTGAAGAAACTCGGCAAAACAAAGTGGCGAGAGCAGCCAGCCGGGGGAGGGGCGGCAGAGAAGGGGCGGAGAAAGGCGACGCCGAGGCGGTGAGATCACCGCAGCCCAGCAAGGAATTCAGAAAGTTAAGTGTCACCCGCGACCTCGGCCGGGCCGCTGCGCCGCTCAGCACCGGGCTCGGAGGCCGAAAAAGGAAAGCGGTGAAGAAACTCGGCAAAACAAAGTGGCGAGAGCAGCCAGCCGGGGGAGGGGCGGCAGAGAAGGGGCGGAGAAAGGCGACGCCGAGGCGGTGAGATCACCGCAGCCCAGCAAGGAATTCAGAAAGTTAAGTGTCACCCGCGACCTCGGCCGGGCCGCTGCGCCGCTCAGCACCGGGCTCGGAGGCCGAGGCCGAGAG